CGATTTAAAATAAAAGCAATAATTGTGGTTTGATATTGAGTAAGAACATTTTTTTATGAACCACACAGCCTCCGGTCTTCCACGACCCGACCGGAGGAAAAGACGTGTTGCAGGCACGAAACACATTACCAGTAGAAATACACTGCTTTTAAAATCGTTCTGTGCAACACGAAAAAAAGGGGAAAATCTTGTTAGTGAACACGAATCAATGGATTAAAAATCGTGTTGGTGAACACGAAATGCCATGAGACTGGGTTGGCAAAAGGCTAACATGCTTGATTTGATTGGTCCCCAGCTCACCATAACATGTATCATGGCAGCTGGAGCAATGTATCTCCACTGACTGTAATATGAAGCAAACTCCTTTGTCAGGATTTCTGAGTAGGATGCAAATATTTGAAGAGGATGCACCAAGCTGGTAGCTTTTTCTTCTGCTCTAAGACTCAGTCTAGTAAACAAATACCAAAAATGCTAAACACACACATTCAGAATGAGGGTTTAACAAATGTTCACAGAGTGGCCAAGGAATTATGAAAAACGAATTATTAGAAACTTTATTTCCATGTCTTAGATAAGGGTTTTCCTACTGACACACTCTTATACATACAGTTATATCTGATATGGATGTTATATAAACAACAAACAAGTGTGTTTATGACAACAGGCAGCTGTACTAATCTACCCGTTTACTTGAAGGCAAAAATACCCTGTGTGTTTTCATCTGAAAAATTCAAAGCCCCACCACTGATGTAATAAATAAAAAATACATAGTATAAAAATAAATGAATAGACTTTGATATTTCTGCATGCTGCAATGTTTTTAATATTTTCAACTATTATAATTTGTTATTATGATTTTTAGTTCTATTTATTGTCCATCTTACATTATGCTATTAATGTGTCATTCCATCCCTATTTTTATTGACATTTTATGCTTATTTTTCACTTATTTTAAGCCCTTTGTGTGGCATTTCTACAGTATAATATGTATTCAAAATTGAGATGCAAATAGCGTTTTGCATTATTTCTGTTTATATAAGACATGAATTTGATCGACTACATAATGCATCCGCGCTCATTACTGTTTCCAGAATCTTTGTTTGTTGAATGTGACAGAAATGACTCTGGCAGTGCTACACACATTTCTCAACAGAGGAACCTGTTCTTCTGCCTTTTCCCATGCCTCCAGTGTCAGATTTCAGCTCTGCTAGGATACTGCTGTGAGTAAATGACAATGTGGAAACAACTCTCTGTGACTGTGCGTGAGACATATTAAATGAGTTCTCAGTTTTTATGCCCTCGTTAAAAGCTGGTGAAAAGCTTTAAACCAATCGACCTTGAACCCTAGACAGGCCGCTGCAGGATGACGGCTGTGAGGGTCATCACCTGACCTTGACTGAAGAAGGAACTGATCTCTAATTTCCCTTTACTTTGTGCACGTTGAGTAACACAATGAATCACAAGATTAATAATTTATTTCGGGCAAGAAGTTAAGAATCAAAAATCAAAAATAAAGACTGTAAAGAATATGTTGTTTATTGTACAAAGTACAAACCTCACCCTTCTTTATAATTTACTGTGAAAAGAGATGACAACAAGGTTAATTGGTAACCTGCATTATACACTTGAATATCCCAGGGTAAAAGAAAGAAAGTAAAAATAGTAATTCTTTCAAAGTGATGTGACGTAAGAGGGTAGGGGGTGTATTCATTCAAGTGTGATTGATTTGATTGTCAAAACTGTTATGTGACTCCTGAGTACCTTTATGGTTTACATGTCAGAGCCATGACAGCAACAGAAAGGATTTCTCATAAACATTCAAAGAGAAATTGGAGATAAATGTTTCGCAACAAACAACTATTTTCATTCTCAATACAAATATGTATCAAACTTTTAGCCAATGAAATGTGAGGAAAAAGGGACAAATGCCCATTATAACTCTGCAGCGTTTAAGATGCAAAACCCAATCTTATTTGGTTGACCTAAACACAACAGAGCAAAAGCACGTTTGCGAAGCTGGAAACAGCAAGAGTATGTTGCTTTTGCGTGTGAAATGACACTTCATTGTTAAAGAATCAAAAATGTAGGTCCTGGTTTCAAAATGAGATGTCCACCTTTCAAAATGTTTTAAATAAACTCTACATCACACAGCTGAAATACAGAAGTTTCTTTAATCCTCACTCATAACACTTTCTATATAAGAAATGTTTTGATTCCGTGTGACGAACATTATACCATCTTTTCAAAATTAATCAGAAATATTCACTAGTGTCAACAACAGTCTTGTTCCTTGTTGCCTTGAGCAAAATACTTTTTGGTCAATGATTTGCAGCAACAAACCCCCTGCAACTGCCAAAAGTCACCTATTTCCTTAAAACTGAGTGTGTTCACACTTAGCAGACACACTGGTTGCATTTAACCCACAACACAGACATATTGTACAACATTCAGCCTAACATGGTATGTCCAACATTTTAACTTCCTCATGAAGGCCAGCACAACAATAGGGAATTAGCAGGGAGCAGATTACAAATGGTGATGAGTTTAGGAAGAAGGATCATTTACACATAAAGTCTATTGTATGTTAAGAGAGGTTCACTTGTCACCCTGATAAGGAAACTGTCGGCTATGACACATCTTCTGTCCTCATCTTATTCTGGTGTTTTCTCTGAGGAGTCATGAGATACGGATGGATATTTACCTCCTGGGAGGGTTTGTTTACTCGAGCATTGAAAACCTCCCAGACTGTCAATAGACTTCGACTTGATCAATACTCCAAATACAAGCGCAAACAAGGATATGGAGAAACGGAGAGTTGATACAACATTATATTCTGTTTCTTTTTTGATAGTGTAGTTCTCCTTCATCCTGTCTTTATCACAACATCTGTCATTCAAAGACTCTGCTATGACTGCATGATCAATATTGAGGTAAAAAGATTGAATCAACAGAAAATCTATCTGCAACTATTGTGATATAAAAAGCACTAAAGTAATTGTGGAAAGGAGTGAGGACCCCCCTACTTGTTTCATTTGATTGTAGGATAGATATCTTTGGCTTTTGGTCTGTTGGTTATTTATTATTTTTTATAATAACACCGTGTCATGGGCATTTTCATCTTTGTTTTTATATTTTATAGACCAATCAATAATAGAGAAAGTAATGGGAGGATAAATCCATTAATGCTGAAATATTAAACTGATTAGCTGATGACAGAAAATGTATCAGAAACTTCTCTTATAATCAATTATTAAAATAAGTCATTATTTAAAGCTAAATCAACAACAATTCTCACGTTAAAGCTTCACCATACCCTTTGTTTTTGAAGAAGTTCAAGTATAAAATATGAAGTATTTTAAATGTAAAAAAGAAGAATGAAAATCTAATTATTATTATTATTTTTTGAAAATACATGTTTATGAAATTCATTTATAGCCAATTCGGAGCATCTTGAGTATTTTAAGCATTGCTTTATATTATGTTTTGCTCAGCTGTAAATATATTGTGACATAATGTAAAACGTTTTTTGTAAAAGATTAAACCATTTTAATAAGGATCCTAAAGTGTGCAATCTGAC